AACAGGTACCACGATTGACCCAGCATATCGAACCACTTCTCTGGCAATCCCAAATGCTCAGGATGATACCACTATGCGAACGACATATCGACCATTTCTGCTCGACCACACAAATGCCGAAGATGACTGGATATCTCAACTTGAGCTGAGCACTGTTTTGAAAATGGTTGATCTCAACGTCTTGAAGCGCGGAGAGGACCGATTAAAGGTCCTTGTTCTTTATGGAAGTCTGAGGGAAAGGTACGTACATTGTGACGCGATCCCACGCCGAAAAAAAAAGAAACTAATCCTACCTGTTCCCGCCCAGATCATACTCCCGCCTCCTAGCCTTCGAAGCAAGCCGCATCCTGCACCGCCTCGGCTGCGACGTGCGCGTCTACAACCCCAATGGCCTCCCCGTCAAGGTCTGTGCAAAACTTTTCCTCTTGACCCCCATGCATCCCCTCAGCATCTGACATCCGCATACCAGGACGACGTCCAACACTCCCATCCCAAAGTCCAAGAGCTACGAGACCTCAGCAAATGGTCCGACGGCCACATCTGGGTTTCCCCCGAACAGCACGGCAATCTGACTGCAGTGTTTAAAAATCAAATTGACTGGATTCCCCTGTCGACGGGCTCTGTGCGTCCCACACAAGGCCGCACATTGGCAATCGCCCAAGTCTCGGGCGGCAGCCAGAGTTTCAATACTGTGAATTCGCTCAGGGTGTTGGGCCGCTGGATGCGAATGTTTGCTATTCCGAATCAGAGTAGTGTGCCCATGGCTTATACGCAATTTACTGATGCTGAGGAAGGGGGTGGCGGGAGTAGAATGAAGCCAAGTGGGAATAGGGATAGGCTGGTCGATTGCATGGAGGAGTTTGTCAAATATACGGTTGTCATGAGAGAGCATTTTGAGTTGTTTGGCGATCGGTTCAGTGAGAGGACTGTTAAGTGAGAATAGAAAATAAGACAAAATTTGCCATCATTATTCCTGATTGAAGATTCGTGATACTCCACGAAGGCGCTTCGCAGAGGTATGTGATTGCATTTCGTTCCCTCCCTCCAACTAGACTAGACTCGTTCGTTACATTCACATAGCTTCCAACGTGTCCAAAATCCACCCACCGTTACCGTCCGAAAGAAGAAACAAGAAATCTTTAATTAAACAAGCCAGGAACTTTACGTGGCTGTGAACCATGCAGCCATCTTCTACATCGTACACAAGTCCTGCGCGCCTGGATATTGCACGCACTGAATGCCGCTGGTCAATTGACTCAGATCGATTTGGACAAATAGGAAACCGGTCATATCTCGATGAAAGAACCTCGGCTTTAAACATAGCTAGCCTGCCGCTCGAATCGAAGGGAACCGGCGAATAAGGGTGAAGTCGGTGATGTACATATCAAACAAAGGTCGTTCGAAAGAATCTGTGGAATCTAAAGGTGGATCTTCATCGTGTCGTTGGCTCCAAAGGCTTTGCCACAATTCGGGCACTTTCTCGCTCGGTTGTTTAGACGATCCTGAACACAGACGTGACAGAAAACGTGTCCGCATGTCTTGATCAGAGTATCCTTAATCTTAGTTTTGCATATCTGACATTGAATCATTGCCTCCATCATGGCGGTCTCAGAGCTTTGATTGCTAGAGCTCTTCTTCTTCCATGTTTGCACTTGCTTCTCAAGGCCAACAATCTGTGCGCTCATTTCGTCTCTCTTAACTTCGGCTTCGCGTTGCGCATGTTTAGCAGCTAAGCAGGCGGCATCTTTCGTCTCAACAATCTTCTTCAAATCTGCAATTTGGCTGACGTGACCTTCAGACGTGATGGCATTCTCGCTGACTTTTTGCTGCAATTGGCGGTGCTGGATTGAGAGTTCGTCCATCTGCGAACGCATCTCTGCACATTGCTTCTCCAACTTATCGACAAGGGACCGACTCAACGAGTCTGCGTCTTTCAGTTGAGCAATCACTTCCGTAGATTTGGTTGCTTGAGTGCGAAATATTCGGACCTGCTGTTCTAGTTCTCCTTTGGCCTTCATAGCAGCGAAGAACTTTTGATCTGCCTTGGTTTTATCCGCGTGTGCTTTTGCAATGCTCTCTTCGTTAGCGGCAATATCTGCAATCTTCTTACTGGCTATCGCTTGTGCCTTCTTCCATGCTGTTTCTATTGATGGCAATTCGTTGCTGAGCAGCTTCAATTGATTCTCAAGGTTGCTCACCTTGGCGCGCAATTGCTCTGGGGTCAGTTCGTCCATCTGGGGTGGCGACTCTTCAGTGCTTCGTTGCTCCGAGATTTGCAAGCGCAATCGTTCGCATTCTGACTCAAGAGCGGCAATCCGACTCTCGCACGCGCTGACCAACTCCTTTGATTGCTGAACAGACGCTTTGGTATCCTTGTGGCTGCTTTCAAGTATGGCATTCTTGGCAACCAGCTCGTCTCGCGCACTTCGTATCCTCGCAAGGTTTGCCTCCGCCTGAGAGACATTACTTTCCGATTCAGCAAGGGCTCCACGAACCTCATCATCGACCTTGATGCGATACGCTGTTCGTTCCGCCTGGTACTTTTGGGCTTCTTCACGTAATTGGATATTCGTCGCCTCCAGGTTGTTGATGCGCTTGATAACATCCTCGTGCTGATGCTTCAGAGCCTTGAAAAGATCGGTTTTGGCATAATCGTCGTCTGAGAGGCCGGTAAGTTTGACTTTCAGGGACGTAAGTTCCTCAGTGAGCTTCTTGTTAACTAGCTCAATTTCCTCGAGTTGCTCTTTCCGTTTCGCTGCTTCAGCCACGGCTTGCCTCCTTGCAGTCTCCAGCTCTTCACTGACTGGGCCAGGAGAATGACCGTTGGCAGCCTCAGTGCCATTGCTGGTTGAAGATGTTTCCTCTTTGACATGAGTTGTGGCAACAGCTTGTTGCTCGAGTTTCTGGACTTGTTGACTCTTTAGCCGATCAATCTTCTTCTCAGCCACAAGATAACGGTGGGTCGCAGTATCTAGACGGTCTGACAGTTGCTCCTTCTCAGTCATGACGCTTTGGAGCTGAACGACATGTTCCTTTTCGTGGGCTAGCAGCTGAGAAAGTTTTTGTTGCAAAGTTGCAACGTCAGGGCTACTAGGGGGAAAGGCTGCAAACACCCCGGAGAGTGACGACAAGATCTTTTCCTGGCGGCTGGAGAGGTGCTTCTTGAACAGTGTGCTATCCTCGAAGAAGATGGCAGCTGGAAGTGATTCCCTCGAGGCCAGGTCCCTTGATGAAGCAGGCAGTGTGTCGGCGCCCAGGAGTTTGATGTCATCGACTAGCTAAGAAGACATTAGCATCACCTCAATCAAACTCCCAATGGGTACTGACCTGATCAAACCAAGCGTCTATTGTGCGGAGATGGTCGTCGTGGTACTTGGTGCGCGACTCCAGCTCACTGAGCTGCGACTCGACGGTTGCTTTCTCGCGTTTGAACTCGCGCATCTGCCTCAGGATGGCGTCTTTCTGGAAAGCCTGGAGATGACAATGAGGTTAGCGCATGCGTAGAAGGTGCGGAGCAGACGGGCATGCGCGCGTAGGGGTAAGGACGAAGGGGGCGAAACGAACCTCCATGTCATCTTTCCACGGCACGTCAGCATCTGGGTGGGAGCGGGCACCGTTGACAGTCACGGCTTGCCTCTTAGCAGGAGGAGCTGAGTCGTCAGCAATGGGCCGTTTGCGATCCTCCATCTTGACAGCGTCAAGCGATGGGGGTACGACGGTCCTTGCTTCGAGCCTCATCGAGCAGACGACGGCGGGCGAGGGGGAGGCACGTGAGAAGAGCGCGCCGCCAGAGTCACCAACCAAAGAGCCACAGAAACGGATTCTGGGTTGAGGGTATGGATGAGCGAAAGCGCGAGGAGGGCGGATGCGGCCGGGCGAGCGAGCGAGAGTAGCAATGAGAGAGGCGAGGAGGTTGGCAGGATGGGTGAGGAGGAGAAGGACAACGGCTCCTCGAACGAGGTGCAAGATTCCACGCCAAGCCAGCGATGTGGCGCTACAACTGTAAGAGTACTAGCGGCATGGTCCGGGCGCCTTGCCGACCCATTCAACGCTGGAACGCGACGTGCAAGCCTGCCCTGTCACGCTGCCCAATCAATCACGGCATCACCTTTGCTGAATCTTTTTCTTTGCGGCTTGCCCATACAATATCGTCGTCGCTGGTCGGACAAGGACAAGGACGGGGACATGGACATTGACAGGCCCGCTATTTACCAGGAATCTCTACTGGGTATAATCATGGACGCCCACACGGAATAGTCGGTACATAGCCTACAGCGAGGCCTTGTGCACCTGCTCGGCCAGGACACCCAGATATATATATATACACACACAGACACACACACACACACACACACACACACACGGCCACCATGGCTGCAGAAGACACTGTTGGTGCTGCTGCGACACCGCCGCCGCCAGTGCCTGACAAAGGCCAGGCGCCCAAGCCAGCGGCCACCTTCTCTTCTTTCATCAACAGTGAGTCTTGTCAGCCAAGCCAGTCAGTCGATAGTGTGCGCCCACGGCTAACCCATGGCCAGAGAACACCACGGGCAAGAAGTTTGCACCCAAGGCTGCGCGACGACGTCCCGGTGCAGCACCGCCCGCTCCTTCTGTACCTGAACCTGCGCCGTCTGCATCTGGGCCTGCGACTTCCACAACAGAGCCCGCTCCTTCTGCGCCAGAACCACAACTACAACCAGAACCAGCACCAAAACCACCATCAGAGGCCAGACCGAAACCTGAGGCGTCGGCGCAAAATGTCCAACCACACCCTTCTCGCCCAGAGCCCGTACCAGCCTCAGACCCCGATGCTTCAAATACACCTACCACCCAAACCTCAACCCTCACTCAACTACCCACACCCGCCGCGACCCAAGAACCCGCACCACCAAGCGCACCTACGCCTACGCCTACGCCTATACCTACATCAATACCAGTGCATACCACAAGAGAAAAGACGCAAGAACCAGCAGTAACACATGGTCCCCACATCCCGGCAAGTCCACCCGTTCCACAGCCAGAGCTCAATGCCCTACAACCACTAGAAGAAGCACGGGCGAAAGCAGTAGGAACACCCTTCACTGCTCCGGGTACCGTGGCCGAGGCAGCCGAAACACCCGTTGCTCCAGATAATGTCGAGCCACCTTCACGCAAGCGAAGACGACTGCCGTGGATAGCTGTCAACCACCCCCGAGACGATGAGACGGACGAGGTGGTTGCAGCTCCTCCAAAGAAGACTCGCACGAAGGCTACGGTCACAACTCCTACAGACACAGACGCAGATGCCGAAGGTTTAGAGCAACAGCATAGCGATGACGAAGGATCACTGCCCCCACGCAAACGACTCAGTGCAAAGGCTCGGGGGAAGAGAAAGGCGGCAGTGGCTCCTACTGAAGGCGATGACCAAGATCAGACTGCACCAAAAAGGGTGCGAAAGCCCAGGAAAGCGAAGTCTGCAGTCGTCCAAGGGACAGAGGCAGAAGGCGACGCTGCGCAGCCTGCAGACGAGGTCCAAGCCACAGCTCCACGCCGGAAGCCGCGCCAACCAAAGGCACAGAAGAGGAACACCACTGAGGCTGAGGGTGGAGAGGGCGAAACCGAAACGCAGCCCAAGCGCAAAGGCCGTCCGCCACGAGAACCGACCCCATCGGATGCTGAAGACGAAACCATTGATCCTGAGGAAACCTACATGGGTGTATTGGCGTCTCGCGACATTCGCGTTGGAAAAGTATCAAGGCGAGAGAAAGAGATGCGCAAGGTGGACTGGGCGGCAGTCAAAGAGCGACGAAGGAAGGAAGATTCCCGACCCATGGTATCTAAACAAGAACAAGAAGCTGCTGACAGGGCTCTGGCTGAAGCGAGTGCAGCTCTTCAGAGCGAACAACCCTCCGGCCCACGTATCAGGGAGGTGGAAGGCCAAATCTACCTTGTACCCGACTCTGGTACCATTAACCGCGAAGCCGACGCAGATCGAGAGATTGCCGAGTATGAAATCATCGAGGACCAAGACATCACCGCTCGCATCACCTTGCGCAGTTTTCTGAAGAACAACAAGCGCTTCCCCAACGATTTCATCCTCCCAGGCCAGGGCCGCCGCTGGAACGTCGAGAGCACCGACTTATTCTACCAGGGTCTCAAGTCCTTTGGCACCGATTTCCAAATGATATCCCAAATGTTCCCCGGCTCAACCCGCCGCTCCATCAAGACCAAATTCACGCGCGAGGAACGCGAGAACCCGGAACGAGTTCGTGCCGCCCTACACGGTCAGAGTGAAATCGTATCCCACTGGGACGTCTTCCTCGAAGCCTCACAGCGCAGGGACGATTCCTTTGTCGACGCCGACGAAATCAAGCGCCAACTCGCCGCTGATGAGGCCATTATGCGGAAGAAGATTGAAGCAGCCAAGGCAGAGACGGAGGAACGGAATCGCCAGAAAGCCGCTGCGGGCCTGCTGGATGATGAGGGTGGCGAGGCCGGGGAGAAGGAAAACGGTAAGAAGAAGAAAAGGGACAAGGGGAAACAGGTTGCGTTTCAGGAGGAGCAGGGCGTCGAGATTATGGGCACGATTGATGATGACGATACTTGGGGGCGGGAGTGAAGGGGAAGGCAAAAAGTAGACATGGTGGTATGTCAGGGAATGATTTTACCACGAGATATATGATACCCCCCACGCCAATTTCAGTCTCTTCCTGGTCAAGGACTGGCTGACGAGATTAGGAAAAGATGATATGGATTATGAATGAATGAAATAAAATACCCTCTCCAATTTGCCATGAACTTTTGCTTGATATAAATATCATGACAAGATAAAACCCCTTTGTTTTTTTCCCCGCAATTCCCCTCTATGCGATTGAAGAAACCCCCGTCCCCCGTCCACAGACAAGAAAGTCCAAAGAATCCCAGAATTTAAATGATTGAAAGTAAACATAATATACTGTGATATAAATACAAATACAATGTGCCCTTTGGTTCCAAAAATTTAATCTGGGGGGGGGGGGGGGGGATCCTGATGCCTTTAAAAACTGAAAAACTCCCTAAAATGGCCAAATCCCAATAATGGAAATAAATGAAAGGCCCCAAAGCCGGGTTTTTTTTTGTTTCCATGATAGAATGATGAGTCCTCCCTTTGCCTGCACTGGGCGGTGGTTGTAATGGTGGTCTTGCTTGCTTGCGTGCTTGTTTTTTTTTGCCGGGTCTTCGTGTCCGTCTCTCGCTGCTCGTCGCAACGCAACTAACGTCTCCGCTTCACGTCTCCATGCGGCATTCCCTGGTCCGTAGCGTCTCTCGTCCTCTTCCGGACGTCCTCTGGCCCTCCTGCACTGCTTGCACTAGCCCGACTCCTCCTATCCCTGCCGTCGCCTCCAGAGGTCCTTCCATCTTCTCTTGGAACCCTCTCCCGTCTGCTGGGCTCCCTCGATTCGCGGCCAGAGCGCTCGCCACCGTCTCGTTCGCGGTCTCTTCTGCTCGAATCACGGTCGATCCTGCTTTTCTCGCGGCGATCACGATCTGAGCCACGATCTTCTTCCGGGGGGCCAAGGCGGTCAACGGGAACATTCCGGGCGCCTCGCTCATCGAGGCGGCGGTCACTGCGGTCGGTGGATCGCTCGTGAGCGGAGCGCTCACTGCGTCTGCTTTCGCGATGCCCACGCGAATCTGACCGTCCTTCATCTTGAAAAGTGGGTTCCAGATGGGGAGGTCCGGGCTCCAGTCTACTATTTCGTGATTGCTGACTGTCAGGCCGTGATATTGCCATGGGATTATGCGAGGGTGGCGGCATGGGGCTGGACATGCCACCAGGTGCATCTATAGAACCATTGGCACGCGTTGATCCACGACCACGTACAGCGGGATTGGAAGCTGGTGGCCCATTTCGTTCGAATGACCGGTCTGCAGGTGTGTTCTGCGTGAGGACATTATTGATCGCCCGTAGTGGGTTAGTGGCATTTCTGGGTCCACGATCATTGACGGCTGGGCCAGTGGGTGCACCTCGTCCAACAGGCGACGGAGGCATAGGTCCCTGAGGCATTCGACCTGAGCCTCGTGGTCCACTTGGAGCATTGGACATGTTCGTTTGAAGGGGTGGGCCACTTGGTCCTTTCCCTTGTATGTTTTCAAGCCTACTAGGGTGAATCCCACCAGGTGTAGATGGGCCTGTCGGCGCGATCGGAGTGGATGACTGAGATTGTCCATGTGGACGATCACCTGTATAACTTAGCCGTTGTTCCATTTGGTCTCCCTTCGAAGTGTACTCACTCCGCGGGCCAGAGGGCGGCATCGACTCGGACGGTTGGTTTAGTCTTCCGTAATTGGGATCTTGACCTGATGGCCTTGAACCTTGGGTTGGCTGAAACATCTCGCGAGAAGCACGAGATGAAGCTGAAGCTTCTGTTCGATCTACGCGTGGACCTGTTGGGGTAATCGCAGAACCATCGTTTCGACGATCTCGACCACTCGGTAATGGACCCTGCATAAGTCCGCGCTCGTCTCGATAATCCCGAGTATCGTGACGGCCGTGGTAGGCTGGTGGCCGGTCATCCATCTGACGCTCATTGCCACGCCTATCGTCGCCACGTCGATCATCTCCGCGACGAGGGGATTGTGGACGAGAGTCTCGGTCGCGACGACTGTCGCGGTCCTGTCTCGATAGCTCAGGTAGACCATGCTGTTCGCTTTGATTGATTAGAGCCGCACGTGCAGGATCCACAGTGGGACCGTCGCCTACTGATGCAGCAGCGACTGGAGTTGACGATCTTGGAGTTATTGAGGGTCCGTCGCCTCGCTCTCCACCTTGACGATAAGGAGGCGGTCCGTCTCGACGTGCTGTTACATGTTCATGTGCCATGGACGAAGTCGGCGGCATGCGTCGGGGTTCCATAGGAATGGGGGCAGTATGGCCGCGAGAATCTGGCCGATCGCGCTGGTCGCGTGGATCTCTAGTGTCGCGCGGATCCCAGCCGGGAGGTGGTCGGACTGGAGGAGCTCGTGTGTCACGCGGGTGTCCACGCATCGCTCGATCATCATAATCTCTCGGATCTCGGCCTGACCACTCACGATGGTCAGCTCCACCTGGCATTCTCTCAGGCGTCCTGCCTCCAGGAACAGGTCGTGGACGGCGTCCAGGAGAGGGTTCTCGTTGGCGTACAGGTTCACTAGGTCGCTCTAGACGTCCATACTCGTTGGGAGGGGCTCGAGTATCGTAACGGTGGTGTGTACCGTGCTCAAGTGGGCGGTCCATGGTGGTGGGTCGCTCAGGCTGTCGGTTCCTTGGAGGTTGCGAATCTGGCCTGGTTGGTAAAGCGTGCGATGCTCTGGTGTTCGAGGCTGAGTGAATTGGTGTGTTTCTCCCATCGGGGCGAGGAGGTACAGATGAAGGATGCATAGGGGGACCAGGCTTTGTAGTTGTCCTAGCAGGCAGCCCTGCTTCTTGCTGTGACGGGGCAGTTACCCTGTCGTCCAGCACCATTGCCGATTCCCGTTCTCTTGAAGGAAGCGCAGGTGTCGCTGGCGTAGATTCCGGTCGCTTGGAAGTAGTATCATCTTTAGAAGCCGGGGGGGTTGCATGGATCCCATTACTAAATGTCGATGATTAGTACTATGTCGGGTGTGCTGATACGCGGAATATGTGCTTACACTTCGTTTCTGGGCTTAAAGGCCGGTGCCGTTGGCTTCAATTGGGGCGTAGATGCCTCCGATGAAGGCTTCGCCTTCTCTGTGACAGATTTGTCATGCCCATTCACTGGTGTGGGAGGTGCGGGCATCTTGGATACGTCAATACATGCCTGGTGAGCGAGGTTATCTGGAGTACTCACCTGACGAAATTCGTGATCTGTCTGCCAGTATTTCTTGCTCTTGTTGAGATCACCGAGGATGGAAAGCAAAGAAGTTTTCAGGTCCTGTCTTGAATCGGCTTCCGCTAACTGGGTGATTGTGTGCTGTAGGTCTGTTGCCATGAAGTCCACCCTTGGGAAGACAGGGTGCAGTGCCTTCAGAACATTCACGGAATTGCGAATTTGCATCCAGTTACCACTGTCTATGCACGTCTTCAGTGCAGTGTAAAGAGCTTTGTGCCACTTGTACAAGAGCGAGCAGAACTCCATATACGACAGGAAATCGGTCGCTGTCCGATCCGCATCAAAGCGCTTTCCAAATCCTGGTAAGTTCTTTTTCTCTCCTTGCGCGCACCGGGCAAAGGCGTCGTTTTTGTTCTCGTGCCAGATTTGTAATTCGCAAAGCACGCCATTCAAAAAGCGACCAAAAGCTCTCGACTCGTCCTCGGTGTACATGCTGATGATGCAACTTAGTTTGTTGACGGTGAAAAGAAGGTCGAGTAGCTTGATGGTCCGAAATCCTGGGGTTCCCGACTTATGCATGAAATTGAGCATGGTAGCGGTGAATTGAGCATCTTGCAAAGACATGCGACTCCGTGGGAGGAAGCAATCCTGGAGCAGAGCATTGTGTAGTGCATCAGAGCGTGAGTCCAACATTGGTACACCATCAAACCAGTGTCGCATTTCATTCTGCAAATGCAATTGCGTGTTAAGACTGGCCTGAGAAACAGTTGCTTTTTCGAGTTTCAGTTTCTCAATCTCAAGCTTGATCCGACGAGTTTCGTCGGCGTCTTTCCTTGGCGGGTTCAGCTTATATCCTCCGCGACGCTGCTCAGCAATGGGTGTTGCTATTAACTGTCGCTCAAATGCCGTAACCGTCTTCTGATATTGTTGTGCCATGCCGTTGCTGTCCACATCAGGTAATGACAACTGCCAGAACGTGACGTAAAAAGATACGCAAGGATGTTCCGCAAAAGTCTCTGGAATCGAAGATTTGAGCTCTTCTGCTAGACTTTCGATTTGTGCATTTGGCACGTCAGGCAGAGTACCTTCTGAAGGAGTCAGGTCTTGGCTGGTAGATGGTTTTGCATCTTTCATTTCGACATCACCACTAGGCGGAGTCGTGTGTTGCTCGGCTGAATCATGCGTTCCTTCCATGACCACGTCATTACTCGTCATTGACTTGCTTTGAAGCAGATTTGCTCGCTGTTCCGCTCTGAATGCATTCGCCTTTGCGGTGATACTAGCACGAGCGACAGTGAAAGCAACATCAGGCTCGACGCCAAAGTCTGCAATCATTTCGATGAGCGGAGGAAAGAGGCTGTCGAACTCGTTCACGCTAAGGTATGACCGGAGCAGTTCCAGATACTGGGCTAGGTTGGACCGGAGCTTGTCCATGTTGAAGAGGACTACCTTGTCCGGGGTGTCTTGTTGGTCGCTACGATGGGGATAGGCCTCGACATGTTGTGCCAGAGCGATGAGCAACTGTGGCGCCAGGCCTGTATCCTTGAGGCATTTGACTAGTCGTCTTGCGGATGAGCCAGCTTGCTGACGATAGTCAGAGAGGTGATGTTGTAGTGTATAGGTACGGAGGACCGGGCCTGCACATAGCGCTAAAACCATGGATTCTGACACTGAACTGCTCACAGCAATGCCTCCCATGGACTTGATCATTTGCTCAAGGACGTCCAACATGAACAGCTCGCCTTCTGAACGCAGTAGCTGGGAAGCGGTGTATTGTAGCACTGGTACTGGATCCATGAGGTTGTACTTTTGATAAGCTTTGCCAACAAAAGAGGCGATGTTCTTGAGCCAGGGCGCTGATAACATGCCATCGTCTTGCGTAGATCCCTTGTCGGGATTGAGAAAGAAGTTCACCAATGTCCAGGTTAAGCAATCATAGCCCAACAAAGTGAGGTATCGACTACACTCCACTAGCGCATCAATCATGTTGGGGTAGGCAACAAGTTGCTTTACTGTCAACTTGAACACAATGCCAGGGCTGGAATAAGAGATTTTTGCAAGCTTCCGGCCGTACTCCTTGGTGTTGGTCGCAGAAACTCGGGACAGTTCGTGTTTCGTTCGACTTTGCACTTCTGCAAACGCGGCACGGATGGCGGGCTTGTTTCCGGAGAACCACTGCTGATAGATGTTGTATCTTGTGGCAGTATCGAATTGTTTGAGCAAGTCCCAGACCTCATTGACGATACCTGGATTCTTGCCAGTAAAGGACAAGGCGGGTGCTATGAAAGCAGCGGAGAAATCAATCCAGCGCTTTCGATTCTCGTCCGATGAGTCTTCGGCCAAACTCCTCTTTCCAATTCGTACAATTTTGGCGAGAAGAACGACGTCTTTGCCGCACTCTGGTCCAACAAGACCAAGGAGGGTGTTGCATAACTTGAAAACGTCACCCACCTCTTGACAGACGGGGACATTATCCATCCAGTCTTCCCAATAAAACTTGTAATCAATTCCATCACCTGCATCCCGCTGGTCCGGCTTAGCCCAACGGAGCGTCCGTCGGGGAGTATAATCGCTTGGCCTCGGAGTTGTGCGGAGACCGGTGCCCTTCGTCACGGGATCGGTGCTCTCGCCAGATTCAGGTTTCGCGTCTTCGTATATCTTGCTGAGAGAGTGATGCGCAAGACGGAAGATAAGATCAAGCAGTTCAGGGTGTACTTCAAGCAACCAGGGATGACGGCCCAGGATGAAGAGTGCCTCTGGAAGAGCGCCTATGCACAGTAGACTCTGAAGAAGCTGAAACTTCTGGTCCCTAGGTTCGGGCAAGACATCTTTGGTGTCTCCTCCTTCGTCGGTGCGCCCAGGAGTGCTTCGCTCAGACTCCGGTTTAGACTTGCTTTCGGTCTCCCGAAGACGTGAAACGGCAGGCGGCAATGTGTCGTCTGGTAGGGCACCGGCCATGGTGAGGGCATTGACCACTCCCCCTTTCTCTTTTTGTTCCCGCTCTTTCTTAGCCTGCAATAGTCGTTCTTTGTGCGCAGGCATATCTTCTTCTAATGGATACAAATGTGGATAAAGGTCCAGGATGGAAATGAACCCTATCTTGATCAATAAAGCGGCAAGGTAGATAAGGTTGTCGGGCAGTGTATCCGACTTGTCGCGAGCATCGGAGGCGTAAAATCGAAGTTTGAAACCGAGCAGCTGAGCCGCTATCTCGTTTCCAGATGGAGGAAGAGTCTTTGTCTGTTCCATCCAATCGTCCATCCACATACGAGCTGCTTGCTGCTTGGTGAGAGGAGCGCCCTCGACTGGTGGCATCAGTTGCGCGGGTCGGTTGTTCAGAGTAATGCGGCGTCCACCGAGTTCAAAGAAAGCTTGAATGCCCATGCGATCGCCTAAATCGCCAACTCGTTTCCAGAACTTGCGATCACGAGCCTCACGCATACGCAAGTGCGTCTCTTTTTCTTCGTCTGTGTAATACCACAGTGGCGAACTAGGAAGTGCCCACTGTGGAAGGGTAGGTACGTCGGCTTCCTGCCACTCAATGCCGTCGAGACCACGTAGTTCTGGCCACCAGGCGCTCACGCGCAAGAATTTGACAAAGAATTTTCCATATTTGACGAGCATATTTGCGAAAACGTCCAAGGTCACGTCGAGCACTCGACCAATGTCCAAATCAAAGGCCCCTATCAATGCATTCACTCGCTGATATGTCTCGCTGACGGCTTCATGAGACGGCGGCTCGCTATGTACAGTGGTGAAGTATTCGGTCATGAGCTTAGCATAGCCCTCGGATTCTTCGCGAAGGAGGTTGTAATTGGATTGGCGGTAAAGTG